GCTCAATCCTTTCCTTTGGGAGCGGCTGGAAACTTTGCTGCTTTGCAAATGTGGGTTCCCAGCCCTTCCCTTCGGAGATGCTGCGGTCAATAACTCCCCAGGAGGCTGCTGTTCTCCCTCCGCTTCCCACCCTCCCACTTGTCTCGGTATCTCTGCATTCATGCCTTTTTGGCCCTCCCTCGGCAGCGGGCGAGGGATAAAGCGGCGCTGGCTGAGCACGACACAGGCTGCGCTGGGGATGCTGTGAGCCAGAGGAGGGAAGCCTGAATCACCGGCACCTCGAGGTGGGAGTGATGGATTCGGGCTGGGAGAGAAGGGAGCCGGTGCCATCAAGGAGAGGTCTTATGTCTTTGGGACTGTCAGACCAGGTCCAGTCTGTTTTTATAAATGGGGCCGAGGGGTAGCACAAGGATCCGAGGGGCTCCTGAGCCGCGGTCGCTGCCTTCGAGAAAGCAGCACGAGGAACCGGGGGAAACCTCTGGGACTGAAGGTCCAGGTCCTGTTTGGACCCTGAGTCCGGGGTTTCTGTTTCTGGGAGAGTGGGATGTGTGCGGGCTGGTTCGTGGGATCCCGGGGAGGTGGAGAACCGCTCAGCCTAGAAATGCCTGAAAATGGGCCTGGGAAGGCTCGGCTGGGTGCCACGCGGGCAGAATAGGGTCACTGGCCCCTGATGGAGAGGACTTCTGTGCTTCTGCTGGCATCAGCTGGGAGGGAGCCTCTGAGGTCAGTGGGATCATCCCAGTTTGTGCTCATCTGCTAGGAAAACAAGCGGTGGAGCTGGTTTTGGTCATCCTTCCTCAGACTCCCTGTCTACCCGTCCCCCCCAGCTCCTCTCAGGCACCCAGACCCCACGCTGCCCATCAGCCCCGAACGCCGGCAGCCCGTGGCTGAGGCTCGGGCAGCTGCCCACCCCGGGGAGCTGGTTCCCAGGCTGCTGGGGACGTGGCTGGGATGGCGGAGGGCTTGGTGGCTTCAGCTTCCTGCCTTGGAGACAGGTTCTCAGCCCTTCCCGAGCTGGTGATGTTGCTTTGCTCATCTGGGAAACGCTACTGGAATGGACGGGTGACCCACCTGGAAGTGTTGAGGGGAATCAAGTGAGGGTGGGAGCTCCGGTGGGGTCCACAGCCAATGTCCGGTGCCATCAAGGAGAGGTCTTATGTCTTTGGGACTGTCAGACCAAGTCCAGTTTATTTTTATAAATGGGGCCGAGGGGTAGCACAAGGATCCGAGGGGCTCCTGAGCCGCGGTCGCTGCCTTCGAGAAAGCAGCACGAGGAACCGGGGGAAACCTCTTGG